TATACCGATGTGCTTCGGTCGGTTCCATAGGTATGCACATTTCTGCATGATGCGATTAAACGGTAATATCTAGCAAGCCATTGTTACAGCGATTGAGGTATAAAGGAAGACAAAAACAAACTTTTGCCTACTGCAGTTAAGTTGTCGCCCTTGCGGCATGGAGGTTGCTTAACAAATTTCTCAAAACGACGACTGATTCCCGATTTCCTCATGGCTAAGGCCTAAAATCAAGAGCATTTAAGGGAGCTGTAAAACGCCCCGATATTTCATCATTACCAATAGGGTTTACTGCATTTGAGAACGCTTGGTATACAAGGGAGTGGTCACTATCGTACAACTCTTCGATAGAGTAAACTCATTTTAGCAAGCTTAAATGTTGTTCCGTCACAAGTCGCTAATGTTGAAGTGTATGAACGAAAAATCGACTTCAAACTTATTCACTTCATGTGCTGAGACAGGAGCAAAATATGTCGTAGAAGTTTGGCAAGAGCAGATGCAATGAAATAAATCATTTTGGGAGGAGATTAATTCTGGGCTACGGAAAGGCGAGAATGATAGTTTTTTTTTCAAAACAAAGGTAAAATTTGGTTACGATTGAATGTTACCTTGAGGTGTTTCTGCTCAGCCCTCTCCAGCTTTTCGTTCAACTCTTCCGCAGTTAATTTTGGAGCTCTTGGGAGCGGCTCCAAACGCTAACACGATGATTGGCTCTCAATGTAAAGACAAATTACTTTAAGGCGTTTAGGTAATGGTTTCTTGGGATTGTCCAAGCATGTATCTAGTTCTCCGTCTAGATTAATCTCAAACACGACGTATCCCTTTTTAGCTATTATCCCATCGGTGCCATCAAAACAATCGCATCTCTGAACTGGATCCCGCGTTGCACTTTTAGATAAATTTTCGTTGGTAGGATGTTCCTCCACTTTGGCGACCTCTTCAGACTTACTTGGTTCAATTTTATTAGCGATCGCCTTGCCGCCTTCGTCTCCTACAGTTGAAGAGAGTGAAACAGTTTCAGCGATCTTGGCAGCAGTCCCGTCCATGACGACGTCGCCTGCTGCCTTCTGGTTCTGAAGTGCAGACATATCATTTAAAACTGCATCTGGAGTTGATGCTGAACACCCCATGCTTGTAATTCAGCTTGGTTTTTGCAACTTAAGGCCAGAACTCTGTCAACGCCAAAGTATCGATCGAGATGAGGTTCAAATGAATGCGGTCCAACGCTTAACCTTTGGCAGCATTTAAAACTTGGTTGTTTATTTACTGTGATTGCTATCTTGAACGAGAGACAATGCAGTTAAAAGTTGACGCAAATCAGCCCAAATTGCTGTGATTCCACATATCTTATGGATCGTTCGTGTTTGCTAAAATAACGTTTGACAAAGCATTGTGGAAAATTCTATGATGATAGGATAAAATTGTCCAATTCGCTGATGCATAACGATACTTTGAAACCAGGCTCATTTCTTGGAGTGATGCATACGAGAACAAACTTGCTCGATTTCCACCCCAGAGTTGTGGGAAGTGGATCTCTCCCTACTGCAACGGATTGTGTAGTTGGTTTTAGCCTTTTGTATTTATTTGGGGCCAAAGTGGGATTCGCAGGATTACATAGTTTCTGCGTTCATTCTTTTAGTCTGAATCATATTAAAGGTCTTGCTATCGTGCATTAATCAAATGGGGAAGTCATACTTTTATCACCGAAAACTTTACTTTTTCAAGCCCACAGTAATAACCTCAGGCAATCCTCGGTTTTTCCCAGATTTTTAGTTATGACAAATGCTGATTGACCGGAAACGAGTATTAATAACGCCAGCAGGAGCGTGGATGGGCAGTCGGTCACCTAAAATTAAAAAGGTGTGCGCATTACCACCAGACATCAGCCAAATGGCTGGTAACTACAGTGAGAAGAATATCACATAACCGGTTAAAAGACAGCCTCTCCAAGCTTAACGAATGTGAAAACGAAGTTATCCAAAACGACCAAACGAACTTTGTAGACTTACTGCAATTTATGATCGGCAACAGAGGGAAGCTAACCCACAGTCAGGGCTCGACAGCCAAATAAGCGCAAATGTGCAAAGGACAGAACTTTAGCTGTAGACTTTTGCAGCGCGAATAACAGGCGTATTACTATGAGTGGGGAGAGTCGCACTTCTCCACACCCGAAGGGCTGAAATCGATGTCTGCGCTTGGCACCTACCGCGTTCCCGTGTTTCACAGTCAAGTTGAAGTCACACCATCGTGAACAATCTTGAAAAGATTCATTTCGCAGTTTCCCTTGCCATATCTACGTATAGGTGTCAACTATGCCACTAGACTGGAGCCCATTCCATGGAGGACTGTCTTCCATCCTATTTCCTCTGTCACGCATCTATTTTAGACCAGTGTTCCAATGACCACTGGTGCAGCTGCCTCATGGGTATTCTCGTGTAGCACCGAATGTGTAGTGAAAGCTAGTGCGCGAGGTGTACCAAGGAAGGCACCGATGATGTCACTCAAAAGCAGAGAGGGCAATGTAGCAACTTCTTATTTCGACCACCTGCATGACTATCCGTGTATTTAAGTTCCCATCGTACTCTTCGTTAAGAGGAATGGCTTGCGAAACAAATCATGAATTTAGTATTACCGTCTTATCTCTACCTCAAAATACATTATTTGGTCCTCGATACTGTCTTTATTAAATAATAGGAGTTGTTGGAAAGTTACGTATATGCTTTTGGTGTAGCTCCTCTTGAGACTTCCTACCAAGAGAAAAACAGTGGAATGCGCTTTGGCTTGGCTCGAAGGTTAGCCCACGCGAAACCCAAAGTCACCACCAAATATCAGGTGGTCACATAAGCAACGTGTTACACTGACCCTTTCTCCTTTTTATCGGCGTCATCAGCACTCCCCTTGGTACACCTCTTGCGCCAGCTATCGCATCACATCCGGTGCTACAAGGAAACACCCACAAGCCAGCCGCGCCGGCCATCAGTCACCATGACCCTGAGGAATTTCATTTGGCCTTCGCAGCAGCTCCAACTGGGTCTGAGGTTATGTTCGGCCTGAGAGCAGGAACTGGGACCACATACGTCCCTTGAATGTCAATTCCTTCCAGGACTGGATGTTGGAACATTGGTCTAAAGCAGGTGTTTAACAGGGGAAGGTGGGGTCAAACACAGGCCCGTATGTAAGTAAACAGTAAGTTAGGGTGAATGCAAGTATTCCAGAAGGAGAAGAAGAAATAGAGCCTTGGCATGGACAGAGGACCGGTCCACGCGTACAAAGGCCAGACAGGTACCAAAGCAACCGTCGGACATCAGGTGATCTCATGAACAAAGATTACATTTCAACGCTGCAATGCGTACTGCAGACTTGTTGCTAATGAGGAAGGTTTAATAAACTGGGGTTTATATTTGTTATTGAATGTGTACTGCTTTGTTTATGTGACCACCTGATTCTCAGCGGGCACTTTAGGATTTGTCTGGCCCTTGTACTCGTGGGCTGGCCTTCGGGCCATGCTCAGGTCCATTTGGTCCATTCCCTTCGGAATACATGTATCAGGGTTCGCTTACTGCCCTCTTCCACACTATGGGATGTTTTGGGACGCTAAAGGAGATCAATACATTAACAACATTGCCTAAAGCTTAAAAGATGCAAACTTTGCATCACTGGTATGGGAAAAAGTTTCGTCTGATATCTCTCATCAGCCTCCAATTGCAATATTTTTGGTTAAATAATTAGTTGGTGATACAATCAACTTATTAGCATTACTATGATTTTCTTAGTTGCAGGTATATTAGAATTTTCAATGTTTTTTGAAGAAAATCAACATTATTTGGTTACTCGAATTTTATGTACGTATCTTATTTGTTTGAACATTCTATACGCGAAATCAGAGACGCAACTTATTTAAATCAACGTCGAGTTTACAATAATGGAAATGCTTAAAGATAGATTATACATGCCAATTTATGCCGACCGGAAAGTGTCACACAAACGAGTGAAAATATCAATTATAGGCTGTGGTCGTGAGGGAATGGCGGCCGCATTTTGTATTTTAACCAAAGTACCTCAACTGTTCCTAATTATGGCCAGGGCATAGCCACTGAATTGGCTTTGATTGATTTAGATGAAGAGCTAGTCGAGGCTGAATTGAAGGACTTGCAAGGAGCTGGTGAATATTATCCAGGGTGCTTGATATATGGGGGTGCAAGTAACGTGAAGTTGGCAAAATTGCCTTAGATTATAAATTGGTTTCTAATTCTACCATCATAATTATGTGCGAGAAGGTTCCAGTGGGGGATAGCGAAGACAGATTAAATCATGCTCAACGAAGTTTGGACACATTCAAAAGTTAGTTCCCCGTGTAATCACCAATGCATAAGGAATAATACCTCATATTGTTGAGAGCAGTCCAAAGAGCATAGTGATTGTGGTATCCGAACCAGGTAATGTTAGATCAAGCGTTATATCTCAGTTGATATAATGTGTTATATCGCATGGCGTCTGAGTGGCTTCGAGAAAAATCGTGTTTTCGGAATTGGGACAGCTTTAGAATCTGCCGCTTTCCGAGTTGGGATTAGCCAAAAACTGAACGTTAGCCCCAGCGCGGTTAGAGGCCACATACTTGGTGAACACGGACTGCAATCAGGTTCTCCCCACTTTTAACAATCACATTTTTAGTCCCAATTTTTAGCTCAGTCGAATGTGGCGGTGTTAGACTAAGAGCCGTATACCCCGCATTCGGAACAGAGAAAGACGCCGAGGGGTACAACAAGATCCCCGACACAATTAATGCAAAGTCCGCTTTTCTGATAATTGACATTGTGATAATAGCAATCAATTTATCAAAAGCGTAAAGGCTAACAGCTCCTGGTCCATTGGTTTGATAGCATGCCATACCTGCGAAGCAATCTTAAACGACGCGAACATAATCGTACCACTTTCAACACATGCCAAGGTATGGTTCTCTGATCTAACTAATGCTGTAGCATGAGGGATTACTTAAAGTAAGCGGGATGTAAGGCGGTGACAGCCCCCACAGCCTCCGACAATTTTGACTAACACTATGCTTTTAGAATCTGCCGGGGATCGATAAAGACATCTTTATGAGTTTACCCTGTATAGTAAACGCTAATGGTGTACGAGGAGTGATGTTTGAAGACCTAGAAGACGAGGAGAAAGAGAAGCTTTATGCGTCCGCGAAAGGACTAGAGGAACTCATCCTGAGCATAAATTGGTGACATGCGGAACCCGCAATTATATTTAATAAAAAAAGTGGTCCAGTGGTTATACGTATCATTCGCAGACTGTGCTTTTGCGGCATTATTTTGGCTTCCTTTCAGACCGTTGAGTTCTACAATGAAATTGAAAGCCATAACCGTTAGTAAAAAAACAACTCCGATTCAAACTCTGATAAAAAAATACTCAGTAATATGGGCACACTTAATATTGTTAGATTACATCATGAAATTCATAGAAAAAAATAATAAATGCATACGAACTTTTCAAAGGCCTTTCTGCGCTCAGCTAGTTGCCGCATATCCTTGTTCACGGTCTTTTGTGCATGTACCATCTTTCTGTAGAGATTTCTATGCCGTTTTGGAAGCATCATTTCACGAAGTTTGCGTCGAGCATTTTCCTCAGCTCGTTCAGCCATCTTAACCACCAGCTCGTTCACTGATTGACCCGGTTTTACAACAGCTTTCTTTCCTACGGTCGCATAACCACAGTATCATTTCATCAGCAATGTGAAACAATGAATACCTCTACTTAGCCGAGGAAATTTGGTATGTCGATAGACTGATTTTACATTATGCTTCAAAACTCATTTTATCCTGCTTTCATGGTCGGTCTGCGACCTAGCACTTGTTTTACCAAGAATCGTGAGTGCATGCGAAAAGATAAGGGCCTAGGCCTGAACAATCATACACAAACATGGGAATCAATATACATTCCGCATATTCATAAACGTACCTTTCCCAAGAGCCTTGCTGTAGCTCCGCTTTATTCTTTTGTTCTTCTTTGAACGGTTCTTTTCTTCCCCAATATTTGTTATATCGACTTCCAATTTCATATCACTCTCTCGGTTCCGCTTTTCACCTTGGTGATTATCGTCAGTTTCATCCGTCTGAGCTGCAGCCACAGCAGCACCACGTACCTCTGCGAGGGAGACAAGACCAGCGAGATAATCTACCTCGGGTGGTCGATAGAGAGCCGATCCAGAACCGAAGCCAGGAGCGATGCTCACCGCAGCTGCTTGTTTCAGAGCATCCGCCATGGCCGTGTGCGGATCCGCAGTAACTGCAGTAGCAAACGGCGAGAGGTGTGGTGGAAGAGATGCTGATGGCAGATAATCCTGAGTCGGCAATAGACGACCTGCATTCAAGCTGTCGAACACCCATTGGGGCTGAACATAAGACCTGTCTCGGAATAATGAATAACGTTTTACTTAGGATTGTAACTGGATTACTTAGCAAGGGTATCATAGTCGTTAAGTTTGCACTCTAACAAGGACAAAGAATATGGTTGAATGAATTGGACTAAGGACCATTTTTAAACCACATACCTTCTAAAATCTCAAGGAGGCAAATTATGTTTATGTTTATGTCAAACTAACATATCCCATTCAGGAAGAAAGAATGCGCATAAGCAAATCAAGGTAGAGTAGATGACTTGCCGGGTCGATTTCATGTCTTTCATTGGTCTATCCACAATCTGGTAATCAATACGGTTGTCGTCCTCAGTGTAGGTAGCACCTGGGCCGGAAGTGGCATCCCAACTGCAATCACCACCACATGACCGGACAATCACTGTAAGAACCTCTTTGGGGACCTCGCGATTAAAGAAGAAGCATTTGTCGTCAAAAATGTGTTTGACTTTCTGAGCCTGAATTTGTTTGCCAATCGCCGCCGTGACAGAGTCGTCAATTGCCTGAAGCCAGTAAGCAGTGCAAAATTATCAGTCCCAACACATTATTACAAGCAAGAAGGAACACGAGCAAACAGAATACGCAACATAAATAGCAACTTAGCAAGAGACATCAAGGGTTACCTACTTCAAGTTCAATTAACTCCTCCAGCTGAACGGCAGTAGTACCCTCTTTCTCAGATCTCTTTATCGGAAAGGAAAAAGATGCGAGAAACTAAAGCCGCTAGGATTTCTAAAAGGTATGTTACCTCAATGTGAGTAACTTCAGAGGAAGAATAAGACGACGAGGAAGCAACGCTTTGCGTGTTGATTTCTGGAGGATATAAAAGGCCAGCCTGCTTATAAAGACTATCCGCAGTTCAAGTAAAAAATTCACGTACTTGCAAAGTAGAGATCCTAGCAGCGTAATATCAAATTCAACACATGTGGCCAGAAGGCGATAGTCTACGTCCGTTGGTGCGTGTGCTGCAGCCTGATGAGGAATAACCCAGACTACCGGAACGTCATCAATTATGGCTTCCAAAAAGAAGCCCTTAATACTGATGAAAGCCTAAGCTAAGAATGAACAAATCATGAGATTGAGCATACCTTCCTAATGCATCGCATAGCAATGACATAATGTAAGAACTCCACAGAAAATCTACGACATAATGAAATCAGAGATGGGTGGAACTGTGTTAAGCGAGGCAATCTCGCGAAGAGAAAGATAAGGTTAAGACTATCGGTCAGGTCCCGAAGAGCATCAGCGCGCGTAGGATACCGCTCACGGACCAAATGATGTAAGGTGTAAGTCGGTTTGCTCATTCTCAACCGAAACTCCTTATCCCGATCAAGTTTCTCGCGCGCTCTCCTTAGACGCTTCTGATGTACACGAAGTCTCCGGAAAGTCTCTATTAAAGGCTCCCTCGCAAGAAATGCGATATCTTTGGAGTGAAAATATATCCTTGGTTGCGAATTCCCGAGACCAGCCTTTTTTTTGTTCTTTGGTTCGACCGGATAAATACCCTTTAAGATGCATATACGTCTGCAATACACGATTTTTAAATATTTCCTAACCTAAAATTAGGCAGGCCAAGTTGCAATTTTCGCATTGCCTGCTTCTGGCTCAGATAAGCTGCTACCGTTCCCTTTTCGTTCTAAAACCCTGTGTTTACAAACACACGATTTACGTGCCTTCTTTTGCCGCCGCATCCCAACAGAAAAGCACCAATAACGCGACTACACGTGAGTCGACAAAATTACCGCGTTAAAAACATACCCATTAAAACAATAACTAAGATGCTAGAGGCTTAACTAATTCTTAAAATTAGAAGAGCTTTGAGACAATTTTTCCTAAATTTAATAATAAAATTGTATGAGAACGTGTATTGCAAATGGCAGATTTTAATTTGAATTACTTGCTGTTGAAATTGATACACATCACCGAACTATATATTACCCAAATGCATTGAATAACACTCATGTTTGTCTTTTTTCTCCTCTAAGTGTAACGCATTAAGGTTGTTGTCTTAATCAGCCTCATAGGCCAAAGCGAGGTAATGCACGCAAACGTCCTGCTGGAAGGAGGTGCAGACACCCATCAAGCTCCTCTCTGGGTGTAATCGTCTTTTTTACCTCCATTCTGTTAAACTAACCTTCTAATACCTTGTAATCATGACTAACTAATGTCTAGTAATTACTTTTAGTGTTTTCTTGCTCGTGGATGTTTCCTCGCAGTATCGAATGTGTCGTGATTACCGGCGCAGGTTTTGTATTAAGGTGAGTGCCAAAGATGTAGCTAAAAAAGGAGGTAAATGTGATGCTTTGTTTATGTGACCAACTGAACGTCTGGTGGGCACTTTGTTATTTGCTTTTGCCATAACAAAATCTGACCTCTCCTTCCTCCTTCTCAAGTAAGTGCATGCAGCTCAACTTAATGCTTTTTCTACCCATTAGGAAATTTTGGAATGATACATTATTGGGTATTATGACCACTCAAGCACAGTAGCCGACACCGGTAGGCAAAACAAAGTATGCTAAAGTTATGAACGAAAAGTATCGACACCCTAGCCCTTCCTACGTAAGATAATTTGACGCCAACCCCAGACAGTTCGCTTTGTACTTGGGTGTAGTTAGGATGCGTCAAAAACCTCCTAAAATCTCTTTGCTTTAATCCTATATGCTCTTATAGATCTTTGGTCTTTTGTGACTTCTCAAAGTTTGGTAGATTACGATCACGTAATCAAGATAGTGAAGCAAAAAGTACTTATATTTAACAGATTTGTTTGGGCTATAATACTCAAATGTTTTTTTGGTTTCCAAGATTGATGCTTTTGCTTGCATTCAGACTAAATCCAGGTGTTCATAAGCCCTCGATTACCCTATCAACGGTTCTGTCCTCGAAATAATGGTCGCTCAATATTAAGGGGTTGTCAATATATCCCATTGAATAATCCATAAATAGTTCAATGCCTTCTGCTCTCTCTTCGTTTTTATTGACTCTGAGGTCTTTCAGCTTCACACTCGCCTCAAGAGCCTGATCGCATTCAGCGGTTTGATAGATCATAATTTCTTTTGAGGGCCAGCTAAACTCAGACTTCACGTACTGAGTAAGCAGTTGGATTGTTGTTTCGTTGTCTACCACCAAGTGCATATTGAGTGGATTGTATGGAATTGACCCATTCATAGTATAAACAAAAACAGAAACGGAATTTGACTCTACGAGACCAATCTTCAGATCAACAGTTTGAAGTTGACCGCATTTTATGCTTTCGATCATATCCATAATATTGGCGAATGAGAAGGTTCGGTCACCAAAGTGCGTGATGATTTCGTAAAGGACGTAATGCTCAACCTCATCCATCGATGATCCACAACTGTTCAATACGTCGGATACCCATTCGCGCCCGAAGTCATTTCCCAATTGCATTATAGTACAATGAACCATTTCCCCATGCAAGGAAAACCATTCCTTGAATTTTCGTAAAAGTTCAAATACCTTTTCTTTGTCTTTCATGAATGCATCCGCCAACGTTCTTGTGGCAAGTAGTTCATTTTCTTGAATCCTTATTAACCTCTCAAAGTCGCGCCTTTTGTGAAATTTTGGGCGGTACTTTCTGCTCATTTCGCAAATACAAGAAGGTATGAAACCCAGTAGACTGCAAATATTTGATTGCGCAACAAGGGAACTTCAGTCCTGGGTGATTTCAAGCTTAAATAGCGACCCGTATTTTAAGAGTAGTGTAATAATCAATTATTCAAGTTAATGTAGGCATAGTGGATGTCATTGCGCGAATTTAAATAAACTTTGCGAAGTTTGAACCACAAACTGGCCCCTCACCTGTAGTGCCTTTTGAATTTCTCGAAAAAAAGGCATGCAAATATATTCAACGAATAGGAAGAACTTTAAGCGTTAGGCGTTGTCAGTTCACTCAGTAAAGGCTATACGGCCGCTAAGTGACAATAAACGAAACGGGTATGCAAGCGTTCATCGTTTAAGTAGTCATTGACTTTCAGTAATTATTTTGTACCATAATATTTTATTTGGCTCATGGCAATGACTCTTGTACGTACAGCAGTTAAACTGCGCTTTGTAAGGGAAGAGGTAAGGAGACTCGAATCCTGAGTTTGAGAAGCGGTTGCATCATGACTATACAGGCAAGATCAAAAAATACCTCTCAAATTTTTCCCATTGACAAGCAACTAGATAAGTTCCATCCCTTCTACCTTGCTGCTAGCCTAAGTTTTCAACACTTAAGGTAATTTTACTAGAAATAAGGAACACAGAGGATGTCTCTTAATCTTAACCCGACCACTTCCCATTTCGGATAATAAAATTATGTACACGCCGTAATACTTTGATTGCGACCATCAGTATGAGTGGCGGCTACTCTTTCATTGTTCTTGCTCTTGTAAGTTTGGGCTCATCTTTGGATCAAGTCACAGCCCACTCCCCCTCCTTCAATACGTGTATTCATCACCAACGTAACGCCTTCTACCTAGAGGGAAGTCTCAGAATGCTACGTATACACAAATATTACAATGCCAACTTAGATACGTGGTTTCGTTTGAATTCGTGTGGCACAGATTCAAATTATAGTTACAAGAGAGGCTCCTACAAAGCAAAGGGACCACATACGTCCCTTAAATGTCAATTCCTTCCAGGACTAGATGTTGGAACATTGGTCTAAAGCAGGTGTTTAACAGGGGAAGGTGGGGTCAAACACAGGCCCGTATGTAAGTAAACAGTAAGTTAGGGTGAATGCAAGTATTCCAGAAGGAGAAGAAGAAATAGAGCCTTGGCATGGACAGAGGACCGGTCCACGCGTACAAAGGCCAGACAGGTACCAAAGCAACCGTCGGACATCAGGTGATCACATAGGCTAATCATTGCACTTGCTGCTAAATGTTGTCCCATAGAAACATTGGCGATGTTGCTGTAAAAATGAAGCTTATCCTGCAGCGTCCCGAGACTCCCCACCAAGTGTATTCCAAGGAGGACAAAGCAACGAGGCCCAAGCGTGGCCCGAAAGCCAGCCCACGAGTACAAGGACCAGACGAATCATAAAGTAACCGCCAAACGCCATAGGGTCATATAAACAAATTCAACACAATACATTGCATATGCAATGTTTTGTTAGATTTATTGACGATATTTTCACTGTCCGTTTTTGGCAGTCATGGTGGACTTTGATCCAAGCCATTACGGTGCTTTTGTAGGTCTCCTCTAAATATTAGCACTCAGTCATACCCAATGCCTTATGTTATCGAACGAGAAGCCTTAGAACGGCACGATAACATGCCATTTACACGCTGTCTGCCATGATCACTCAGGTAATCGTCTATCGTTATGCAACTAAATTTTATTGGTAATTTTTTAGCGGCCTTGGTGTTAAATTATTTGCCACAGTTATACATTCGACACAAGAATTATGTCTTCTTCTGTCTTCAAAAAGGCTTCACGTCGTTTCACTCTCTAGCTGAAGCCACAAAGTGGCCTTTATAATCATATTCGCAATGAACTGTCATTACAATTCAATATTTTTGGAGCTTTTGTTGATTTTTGGGGAATTCTTACTTCTAAATCTTCAGCTTCCTTTTGTTTGATTCTCTTCAAGGCTCAGCGCAACATCTTAAATCTGTGGTCGTCTGGCTTTGTACAAATGGTGAGGAGGGTGGAGCTTTTTCGGTGTTTACAAGGGATTTTGTGCTTATACAAGCCCTCGGGGATAGATGTAGCAAAATTCAAAAGGCGGGTGGCGCAGAAAATTGTCAATGGTTTGATTGTATTTCCTATTACTCGTTTGAGAATTCAATAGTCTGCCATGGGAGACGGTGCGCCTGCGTACAAAGGTTGTAGTAAAAGATGGCACGCTTTCAATCCCGTCAATCTCAACAGAACCTGATTTTGTGGACAACCCCTTGGGTATCGGTTGTTCTGACATGATTCTGAAGTTTTACAGTTATTGGTAGACGTTTCCTTCTTGGAGATGTCGTTCTTAACCTTATTGATCCAATACCTGATTATGGATCGGGTGTCCAGTTGATTGGTATAGGTGAAATTGGCGCGTACGATCTTGCAGATGCGATGTATAGGCAGCGTTTCCTTAAATCTTATCATCTCACTGGGATGCTGGGTCAAGCCTCTTCAAACGGCTTGGCCACAGGCCCCTTGATGTACCGATCTCCTTGGCGTAAGTGGATATTTTTTTCTCACAAAGTTGTCGTGATTCCTCCCTCACTGTTGTACTTTTGTCTCATTTGCATTACTTCCATTATTTGCTGCTTTATGAATTACAGGTCATATAACACGACCAAAGTTAGATCGCATTCTCGCTTCGATTGAATTTAAGGCTCGATCAGCGTTGATGCTGCAAGCCGGACTTGTGCCCAACACACACAAGGCCTATGAGGCTCTCAGCAATCTTAATCCTAAGGAAGTGGTCCTGAAGCCGCATGTTGAGCCTTGCGAATCTCTACCACCCGATCACGTTACCCCTTATTGGGATAGGAGACCAGAGCCTACACAACCACACTGCCTCCGATCTAGCCAAGATCAAAGCTCGCTGCCTCAGTTCCCACCTTCTATCCATGGAATTCGTTGCATCAACTTCGCACCTCCATTCTTCACCCTTGGTATGACTGAATTTTGTATACCTCTAATTCATCTTACGATAACGCAGCTCCGTTATGTCCTTTCAGAAATTAAGGTTCTCAATGAAACGGAAGAATTTCTGACCGACCTAATGGTCAATATTGGAGCTTCACTACGCTCTAGTTGTGTGCTCTCCTGTGCACGACGAATTCGGCATGGACTTATCACCGTCCACGATAGCCTCCTACTCAAGCAATGTGTTGTTCCACACTCTCTTTACGAAAGATTTGTCCATCTTCGTTCCAAGCCTCCTGAGAGGGAATTTGCTAATGAGGACGAGTATAGACGACACGTCCTTTCCGAACTCATTGTTGATGAGGAAACCAACTTGTTTTCTAACTTGGTCAAGTGTACGCCTTGCTACCAATTTTGAGAAGCCGACTCTTCAGTAGACAGTCTTTCAGCGCGATTAATAAAAGTGAAAGTCTCATTGGCCAGAACTTATTGTATCATAGGTGCTATGAATTAGTGTTCTGCATGAGCATTCGGTATGAAACCTCTAACCTTGCAAGCCACGATAGGAGGTAATTGAAGGTCACAGCTAACTTGCGTTACTTTAATGAAAATAATAATAGGAACTGTGTGTATGTGTGGATGCGCAGGGGCGAACTGAGTATTTTGAAGAGGAGGACAAACTGGGTGGTGTGACGTGTATAGGACATAAGAACAGTAAAATAACAATAAGGGCAGGCGGCCACAGTGATAGTGGTAGTAGTACTTCAGGATGGAGGAGATGGGGGAACAAATAATGCCGGATGGAAGAAGCCTGCCATCTCAGAACCTCCGGCACGTACGTCTACGCTTTGCGGTGGTGGCAGCGGCGGAGGAGGCACGTATCGATCCACGCGGATCCTTCCGCCCTCCTGGAACACCAACTGGACCTCCTCCACCTCGTCCGTCCTTGTTCCCACTGCTGCTGTCTCCGCCTCATCTTCGCGTTCTGCTACTTCCTCGTTCCAGTCCACTCCGCCACCACCGCTGACGACAATCTCCTGTAGCCCCTCCTCGCCAGCGTCGCGAGGAGAGCTTTGCACGATTGTGTTGCGCAGTCGGCGGCCCGCTGACGAGGAGGAGGAGCGCTGACGAAGGGCAGCAGTGGGTGGAGGAAGATTAGTAAGGAAGGACAGCGGATTAGGCGCACGCGACGCCGTAGTGGTAGTTGTAGAGGTAACAACGAGGGAGGAGGTGGCCGAACGGTGATGGTGATGGTGGTGCCGTCGGTGGCCTCGGTGATACTGCTGCAGCCCACCGCTGCTTCCACTCCCGCCCATACGAGGCGAGGGAGAGGAGGCAGTGGTGGCAGTTGCGGTGGTGTAGACACCCATCGTCGACGGAAGATTGATGGAGGTGGAGACCGTGTGGGATGGGGTTAGAGTGCTCCCTGCAGATGAGGTGCTTGCCTGGTTGTGCTGCTTTCGAAGGAGTTTTGCCTCAGCTACACTGAGGGATACCCGATTACCTTCTTGACTATCCAATACCGTCTCCTCCAGCATACCGATTCCTATCTCCAACAAGGGGTATCGTGCCTTACCCAAATTTACTGTAATTTCAAGAAATATTTTACATTATTTCCCTTGCATTCCTTATGGATGGACATTTTTCGAATTTATATATATTACGCCCAAAGTGCCAAGCAGTATATATGCTTGTGATGGATGCTACTTGGATACATTCGTAAGATAAGCGAGGTTGACTTACCCAAAATAGCATTGTTTACGGATTCTGCGAGGATTTTCCTGTGTCTCGGATGCATCAAATCAGCAAATGGGCTCTCATAGGGATTTTCATAGGCGATCAAGCTGAAGGCGTCCTAGATTTATGAAAATAAACGATTGTCTCCTCTTCAACTTTAAACGTCCTTTGGCTAACTCTAACCAACCTGAAGTAGGGCCGCCTGAGTCGGTGAGAGGGCATTCTTTGCTTGCAGCTCTCGCGCCTTGTCTCGGAGCTCTCGACCCAACTGTACGATGCTGTTGAGATCTAAGGCAAAAATGGGACTCTCCTGCACTGGCATCGTCTCGGCGATCGGTATGGGATGGGAGGAAGGTTCAAATGGGGTGTCAGAGGAGTCGTGGGAGCTTGTCTGAGTGATTCCATTATGAGTCAGGAGTTCTAGTGGTTTCTCGACCGAATTCAACGAGGAACACTTGAAAAGACTTCTGGTAGCTTTTTTCTTCTCCTTTGTTAATACGGAGATACCGTTCTGACGAAGAAAAGTTGGAAGTGATCACCTGGCTTTGGTGCCTTAAAACACCACGCCAACTAAGCAACTTGGTTGGCGGTAGGATGCAGTTAACTAAACTTGGTATCGCAAGTGGAATACTTTTCGTCTATTATGTACTTTCGTGAAACCATTATGTTGGATTTGAGAATATTAGCTCTGACTCCACAATTTAGCCACTTGATGATTTACGAACGCCGGAGTCAAAGGAGATACAAGTGTATTTTAGGAGAGGGGTCTTTAGCTGTCCTAGAAGAATTCTACAAAAATCAATAGAGATTTGTAAATGGATTTTCATTCCAGAAGAAGCACCAATTCAGGCAGAGGTACAGTGAGTAAAAACCACCATTCTGAGTGACGCCAAAAAATGCAAAACCACAAGGATACTTCACCTGAACACATCGTGGTGCCTGTAGGACCGCCACACTGCCATTTTCCTGACAAATACATTCAATAAGAAGATCCTCATCTTCCCCAACAATGCCATTTGTGTTCCCATTGGTTTCTTCACACTTTCTACGAACAGCAGCAGACTGGCGAAAACAGCTCTTACCGCTACAGGGCGAACGTTCTGGTGAGCTGGAGGGCTGAGGACGTTTAAATGTGATGCCTGCACCTATTTTTCCCCAATTTTTGGAGTCCGAATTAGGTGGAGCAGAAGTTGCCTTCGGTGGTGTGATCATTGACGCTGTTGTCGTCCTTCGAGCGGTATCTTCTTCAGTCGGACGCTGATTCGTAAAAAGCTGGAAAATAAATACTTTTACTTATTAGTAACTAGTACAATGTTTCGACAGCCGAATAGAGGAATCGCAAGCCCCAATTTCTCAGATTGCTGGAATACAACCAAAGATGAGTATTGTAGTACTTGAGAGAAATTGAAAACAAATCCAAACGTGAATTTGCGGAATGACAGTAGGGTTAGGCTTAATAATAATGTCGCTAAAGCGAAGCATAATGATATTGAAAAGCGTGAATGAAACTGGTTTCGTCGGAAGTTGGAATATCGGAAAGCCAATAATACTTAGAGCATAGAAAATAGTTCATTGTTTGCAATTGCCAAGGTGTTAGCCTATATTTGTACACATGTGATTTCCTTCGAGGGAACCAACTTCATAAATCATAACAGGACCAATCCCTCAGTATGAACGGGGGAAGCCCTCGTGACCGCTGTACACAAACATTGAGAATAGTAATCAATTATGACAATAAACGTCCTTTGTCGTTCGTCTCTCCCAAGTACGTATTCGCTCCACTAATTACACCCCTATTAACGTCTCTTTTGTGCGAAAATTTTAAATATGCATTGGTATCTGAAGTCCCTTGTAAATTGTATTAAGAAAATGGACAGTCAGATAGATGAGGGGAACTGTTTACGCTTCAGTACACCAGGCACTGTGTATAAAAGAAAAAGACACCCATAGCACTGTAAACTTATAAGAAAATAAATAAATAAATAGTTGTTTATGGAAGCATTAGGAGCTATTCCAACGTTTACGTAGGAGAAGCCTGGGGAGTAATCAAAGAAACAAGTCAAGAAACGTCAAGTTTGAAATCATCGCCTGTTTGATACACTTATAATGATTTCCCAAACTGTCCAAAATAAAACTGAGCTAGCAATCGCTACAGTGCTTGTTGAATTCCAAAAGTCTTTTGATGAAAAGATCAAGCAATTGGACTATCAGAAAGCAAGCATCCAGGTGAATTATAGATTACTAATTAAAAAATGTCATTTCCATCTCTTAAAAAATGCGAATCATAACTAGCAAGGCCATACGTATGACTAGGTATCAAGGGTGGAGGGAGAGAGAGACAGATGAACCAGTTTAAGAGTGGCAACGGTTTTGAGAGTGAGGAACTAATGACGACACTCGTAAATCTAGACAACGCGCCTGATGCTCGCGCACCAATCGCGTTGCTATCAGCTGTTTAAACCGGCATGAGAAATGCTCCAACCAATCAGACCTTAGACCTTGAGGCAAGGACAAGACGAATATAGGCAGTCTGAGGGTGGTCATGCTAAATTAGTCCGCCAAATACCGGTGCTAAACCAGCGATGGGTAGATTACATGAGAAGAGTATCAAATCTCACATCAATCAAGTTATACATCGGACTTGTTGCAAAATTGACAGTTATGGCGCATGAAGTTGCATAATGGTGAAAGTAACGATGAGAAGGTATATTCTTAGGGTAATGAGAGCTGGATAATGTTGACGCATAAACAGATCCGAAAAGTAAAATACTGTAGGCTTTAAAGTAAGTCTACTCACCAATTCGATGAAATAACGACATCGTAGCATGAAGATAATTGAAGGCATTGTCTCCACCAGGCTGGTATAGTCATGGACCAATTTTGAAATTGCCTGCAGGTATTGGCCTTGAGAAATCAATTCGGCCAAGTGAATCCGCTGATTTGCCGCCTCTAATGTCTCAGGCCATTGCTCGCTGCCGCCGCACTCCCATCCATCTTTTGGAGACGCTGCCTTTGGAACCTCGTTGGAAAGTGAAGGTGGCAGCATAGCCTCTGTAGTAGGCGAAACTTCTGCCTCCGTCATTGGTGACTCCAGTGATTCTCGTTTCTTAAGTGATCATTGGGAATAGGCCGATATTATCATCATGGTGTAGATGCAATATTCAACTGGCACCCGTGAACAATATTAGCAGACCGCTTAGCTTAAAATACGTGAATGAGATTGCAGCATATAACTCATCAATTTAACTGTTCAAAAAACACATTTCTAATGTTTGGTTGTTGAAATAATGTGAGTTTGGAGTGACTTTTGTTGAAAAAAGTGGTTCTCAGTCATTATGCAAGCGTGGTACTTTCTTCAACAAGCGAATGATGCAATGGCAAAGGAAGCAGTAATCGTTCTTTACCTCAAGACATTGGGAGTTTACAACCACCTTGCAATGAAGCTTTTGTGGTTGGTTTTAGTTGTGAGGGGAGCGCTCATAACGTAAACACCTATACGATCGGCCAAAGCTGAAACAAATTTGAGGTTGCGAAGAGGGCGCAGATTTGAGGTGCGTACGCGCAATAGGTGCATGATTACGAAATAAGCAAAGTTCATACCAAAGTGACGTTTATAGCTCCTTATGATTATCACAATGGGCGTCAAATTCATGTGACCGACGTACTTAAAAATAAAACAAAATATATGGCTTAGTTTATCTCCTCCGCACTAACTATTGAGGGGTATGAAAAGGTAAAATGGCTAAATTCAAGTGGCCTTATGGTAGGCCTTTCAAAAACTCGCAAAGTTTCGAAAACGCATGCTAAAGAGACCTGATGCTTGTAAAAAGGTGAAACCACTCGGGTTGGAAATACATAAAACAGTTATTTCGAAAGTTTGCAGGAACAACAACGCGCTTCGCGAGTGGAATTAAGGATAACGAAATGAAGTGAGTGAATGGAGACCAAAACAGCTAGAAATCCTAAGTCAATTCATTCACATCTAAAAGTGAACAGAAAAGCAAGAAGCATTAGCAAACCGGAAATTTACTTTTCGACTGAATGTTATGGGGCAAACGTTTTAGAAAATTTAAACTGTAACAGCCACCCAAATCCTGATACCAAAAACAAAACTCCGGTCATTTATAGGAGAGGTACATAGGCGTGAGAGGGAGGGGAAGGATTACACAGGTGGGACAGTAGTGGCGGCGATGGTGCGCTGCAAGTTAGGTTGGCAATACAAGAGAAAGGACGTGGAAGAGATGCTTAATATGAATCAGAACTTACCGCCTTCCTGTGACGCAACAGAGTCAAGGATGGGCTCTTGAAAAGGTCCTTCATGCTCCACTTTTTGGCCCAAAGTTTGATTTTGGGGCTTAGGAAGTACTGAATAGGGCGAGAGCGATAGAGACAGAGAGAGGGAATGGAAAACCCAATTAGCAAGAAACCGCGAGAAAGCGCGTAGAATTTTAAAACTCAGCTACTACTGCACCGTGCGGTCTAAGTGAGGGGATTCCGCAAAAGCAATTTACTCATGCAATGCCAGAGTCTGATCATCCATCCCTTATGCGTTTTGTTAAACAAGTAGGGCCTAATGAATAAACTGCTGCGAGAAAATCAGACAGGGTTACGAATGAAGGACAATTAAGAGGCAGGGTACACTTCCTCGAATCCTTCTTTCAGGAATTCCAGTTAGACGATCAAATGAAACGACAAGGAGAAGTAAAGCGTCGTGACCCTTCAGATCGACTAGATGATTTTGATTTGTTATAAGCGCTATTAGTGCGTGAATGTTCACGGTTGGCAAAGCAATAAAGGGAATCGAGAGTCTTTAGGAAATCATCCCGTGCCACGATGCGATACCCACATAATTTGTTACATGCAGGAGCCATTATCCCTTCTTCACGTGTTACAAAGGTAGATGACAGCACAATTGAAGGAGAGGGAACATAATCAGGACTAGCGTCATCGAATCATACGACTCCCAAAGTCAATAGAAAAGCGTGCAGTTGATGCTTATACAGGATGGCATATTTATTTACTTGAAAAAAGTGATATATTTGAAGGATGCTAAAAGTAGAGCCAATTTCGTTCAGGAATTCTGATGTGTTAACAAAATCAAAGTCAAACCAAGCAATGTGGTCAATTTCCTCGAGGATAATTACCTGCATGGCCTCTCTGCGTACAATTACTGGATGGAAATAAGGATGAGCTCGAAGAAAATCATCACAAACCAGCAAATCGTAATGAAATTCTTATTGCGATAAAAAGGTTAACAATACCACTGACGCCCAATAACTGATGCAGTGCGTGCACTAAAATTAAATTAAAACCAATGGAGTTTGGTGTCAGGGATCAATTTGGACTGCTTTTAGAAGTTCGAGGTGGAAGACCAGATTCAGAACATCTACCAGTTGTATGAATCTTGGTACGCCAAAACAGAGGAACTCAAAGACCAGCTATGCCAAATGGTTATTCAACCATAAATATTACTATGTGATGATAGCTTCTTACTTAAAAAGTAGATGAGTGGGGGCACAAAAGCGCGCATTTTTTTAAACTACAATTGGTCTCACGAGGAAACGCGGTAAGGTGGACAAGTCGTAGGTCGTAAAAAGGCCATTTTAAACGTTTGAATCTGCGCGAAAATTAGAAATGCCATCTATATGTGGCGATGCTTAACGAAGCCCTGATAATCGTTAGGCAAAACACATACAAATGGAAATACTAATAGCTGCGGGACGACAATAAGTTTGTTACTCAATGTTGATTTTCCAATTCGGTGCAAATTTTCATGATGCCACACTTTGAATGCGATGTGCTCGTTACGAGACCTTCGTCTCATTTAATTACCTTTTGCATGTGCCGTTTGTATGCACGAAACCCATCCAACAAAAGAAAAAGCAATGAAAAATGAATGACATTCTTACAAAAATGGGAAAAAATAATTATGCAGCGATTACAACCTGCTGATGACAAAAGCGCCCAAACATCACCTAAATTGATCCAGTTGACAGAATTACAAAAGTTTCAGAATGACTTTGCCTCGCTCTCATACCAACGTGATCAGTAAACGATAAGTAGCGGACACCGCCCGACAATTAGAAACGGTAGTGTTAAGGTGGTAAAATACAATTGACAAGACTACAAATATGCCGTCGCCAGAAAACGTTCTAGGGTAGAGGTTCTTCAACACTGCAAAAAGTCCATCCGTATGATAATGCCAAGCGGTGATGTTGAATTCACAAAACCACCGTCTTCACTTGATCCACTTTCCCCTTAAAATGTGATCTAGCAACGTCAATAAAACATCATCGGGCATTTAATATTCTCAACATTAACTCTAGACGATTTGAAGTTTATGATGCTTGGAAGGTCAACGTCTGTGAACAATACACAAAGCTGCTAGAACATTTCGGTTATAAAAGGGAATAACTACGGCCAGTCATGCGAAGGACACAAAATGAGAACATTCCAGTTTTACCTAATAAAAGGGACTAGGGAAAACTGTTCAGTGACGTCCCATGTGGAAACAATAGTCATTCATCACATTATCCGTGCGAAATGATGGGGTTAGAGAAATGGAGGAGTTAGAACATACGAACAGAACATTAGGAATTGTGGTAGACAATTAGTGCCGCAGATCACGGAACTTCGAGAGAGACCATGGAGATGCTTTTTAGGGAAATGATACCTCGAAATTCGCCTCACTGCTTTCCCACTGCTAGATTGACTAACAAGACAATGAACGACGTGAAACACTTGCTTCAAATATGATTATCAAGAGCAACTAGGAAGTCTAACGAGCATTATGTCTTCTCATACAAATGAAGTCAACAAAGAAAAGCGCCGCGAAGCACATCTTTATTTTTTTCCCCTTTTAAAATTTTTTTGGGACCACTGAACATATAATTAAGATTACCGCTTGGAAGAAGAAAATACGAGCTCGCTACAGCAGTGATAATTCTTCGCTTTCATTTATTTTGGTAGAATATCAGAGAAGAAATTCGCAAAATTTCAGCAAGCATGCCTCTATGAACAGTCATAAGTTTTGTTGACCTCAAGTAAATCAAAGAACGGAGCCTGGAATCCATTCGAGAGTTCGCCCACCCCTAACTGGAATCATTAAGCGTGGCTTGAGAAGCATTCTTCACAGTCTCATTAACCACAACAATCCTGCTGCAGACAGTATTTATGCCAAAACTGCAAAGGGAGATATTTTTATCACGTCGATTGCGACGACCATCGGTGTGCTATCGAAGCGTAGCCGTCTGCATCAAAATAATAAATTATGGAATAAGAAACACTGTGTTGGCGCTTCCCAAAGCGTTAAGGCTTAATAAGCCTCCGAATCAAACCCAATGTGGCTCTAAAAATCTATGAACACGCAAGTACCGAAAGGTTGCTATCCCGAACTCATGACTTGTGGCGACGACACATCAGCGATCATTTGTGTTCAATGCAATAGCGCGTATGCAGGCGCTGACGGAAGGACAAATCACTTAAGTACACGTTGTAAGAAAAAAGTCTCTACGATTCCGCACATGGATTCCGAATTAGTGATTTAACATGAAATGACGAGTGAACTTGCAGCCTTACCATAAGAAGAGTAATTGAAGATCATTTACATAAATGATAAGTGATTTAAAAGCTAATTCGATGTAATCTCGGTGGTTAAATCAGAAAAGATAAAGAAGAGCCACCTGTATGGTACGACTTTCGAATTATTTGACGGCTTAACAGTTAACGGTAAATTATTGCTCCTACAAATGGCTGTTCATGTAATCGGGCAGTTAAGCATCATGGCTTGGTAAAAGGCAGTTGAGGACTAAAGCAAAGTAGTCGTTAGGTCGTTTAATCTTTTACAGATGTTTAGTCTGCACCAGTTATGTTGCGAGCGTGATCGTTTGTAAGGAGAAATTTTAATCGATACGACTGAAGTTTTTACACCAAAACTTCTGCTTTCGTGCCTCAAAAGTAACTGTACCCGACTTATACGTAGTCCTGTAACTGCGGTCTGCAGACACGAGCAATAACTACGGCACAGCAGCATGCAAAGACTGCTTTAAGACCTCTGAGTCATTAGCGCAGTACAACCGCCTGTTTAATCATCGAACATTGAATGGCAATCGCTAATTGTGTAAAAAAGCGAACCAGAAGGCATATGATACAGACGAATGCAGTCTGCGCGTATGGATGAAAAGAGGTCAAACATTTTTCGCCCGCGAAGATAGAAAGGCGTCATCAAGTCTGAAAAATCTCCACACCCATCTACAAGATGGGGAAAAGGACTTCACCATACGCCTGCGCGTGGGTGCGCGTGATGCCTGGTGCAAATCAATGCCTAGCAGAATCGCTTGTGCACCCGCCTTGACTGACAACAAACACCCATTTGTGCAGTTCAAGCCGCAGCTGCAGTGCCGATTTATATTATTCCTTATTTTTTATTGCTCCCAATTACTCCAATGAGCATCGCAAAGGTCAACAAAAGCCAAAGCTCTGTGACCTGGTTTCGGCACTAGAAAGCGCAATTTTGTGACCCAACGGACAGTAATAGCGTGTGACTATAAAGCAGCCTCAAATAACCATCCTACAATCACACATCTGGGGTTCTAGACGCAGGATTTACAAAACGATAAACAATGTTTGGCTATGGTCACACGCGCATACAGCTCATTTTAATCCGTTTGTCCAGCGGTCAGGTAATTGGCGAAACAAAATGCGACTTAAGCAAACAGCTTGGGACGAAGAACACTAGTTAGTTAACCGTTTTTTGTGTATGCACTACTAAAGGAAATGAATTTGGAGACTGCTAAAAGCGGTTTGAGAGGGGAAACAAGAAAGAATAGAGAGCAATTCCCAGGCCGATGATAATTGAATGGCAGCAGCAATCCTTGTGCTTTCATTAATACACCTTCCTCCTGTGCCATAGGAGTTGGCTAAACCAGTAACAAAGCACTAACTGGTTGAGTAAGACAGAACGCTAATTTAATCACTAGCGAAACTGCTTACAAACCAATCGGCAACTTTCCACTGGGGAAAGTACACGCTTGCGCACAACCAGTTTAGGTTGACATATGCTTGTCTCGCTAAGACTTAAATAGGATGATCCAAATGGCACTAAAGTTGCTCACATTTAAAGCAAACGAATTCACCCATGGTTACACAATCTGTACAAAGGTTTCGGAGCAAAATAAAAGATCACTTAACTGATGCACATACATCTGACAGGAAGGAAAACGGTACCATTGCTGTTCAATGTCCAAGTGACAAAAAAATAGCTGTGAATGACCTGATAGTAAAGCAAGGAAACTCAAGCATCGCCACATAAATAATTGTGCTAGTAGTGCATGATCTCATTTCACGGATACGGGTTACTAAATTAAAAAATTGACATCGCAATTGTGCTGACATGATTACATACGTACGCACAAACGATTCTTTGCAAGGTGCTCTTTACCATACTAGATGGGCTAGTAACAGCATAACATCTAAATGGTTATTTTCACTGGGTTACATAGCAAAGCTGCTTTTTCATGTCTGAATAAACAGCTCACCATACTGATACACACAAGGATTGTACATGAAAGTGCTTTCGTTTCGCCGTTAAAATTACTCAAAGGAAGAGGAAATAGTGAAGACCGAATAAAGCAAAGCAACTCATTCTTGCCAGCTATGTTTTACCACTGTAATCCTCATTACATATTCCATCTATTCAAATGTGAGATCTAAAGTGGGTACATTACGAATGCGTTTTCGCGATGTAAAACGGGATTTGTTAAAGTGCACATACCAAAGGAGTATCGGGTTGAATTGAAGAAGGAGAAGAGTTTGAATCGACACCGTCTTTAGCAAGGATTCCGTTTTCGGACTCCGACACTGGAGACTTGGACGATGGGGGGACAGGAGTGGCAGTAGCAGCCGCGGCGGTTGTGACAGCCCAAGGAACCGTGGTACTTGTAGGAGGTGCGACTAACGACGGTCTGACCATGGCGCTGGCCGTAGCAAGATAGCCATGTCTCAGCAGGTAATCCAGGACGAGACTTAAACAGTAAGAATGATGAGCATGAAAATTTGTTCCTTAAAGGCAGATTAGATCCAGATAGACAATTGCCCCAAAAAAACTTTAAAAAAACGGGAACTCCTTGAAACCATATTCTCCTTATTCCATATTTCTTCAGAAGTTCTATACTACTTGAAAGCGATAACTGTGCATTTATTGTTGCAACCGGGAAGAAGTTCACCAATTCCATTCCGAAAATCAGAGGTTGCACCGAAATAGCAAACCTGTAACTAGATTGACAGTAATACCGACAAAAGCTTTCCTTCCATTAGAACCATCAGGAAATCAAGCTAACAGAGTTAGCTAGAAGCTATAGCAATTTGCCAATTGTGCATTTGTGAATATGCTGATATCTCGGAAACTAACACAGAACGTAAACACTGCTAGCATTGGAAAAAACAGTTCACCACTTCACCAAAAGCACGTTCAAACACATTAAAACTAAAGTCTAGATGAAGGGATACACTCAGATTTCCAAATCCTGAAAACCGCTTTGCTTTGGGGAGAACGTATGAGCATAGAGGCTGCAATGGGTTCCAATTAATGAAGTGCACAACTTATAACCAATGCTGTTTTCCGAACAGAAAACCCAAGTGAAGAATTTCTGAACCTTAAATCCCATAGATATAGCTTCTATTGAGAAGATCAACGTCGGAATGGAATGTTAAAATACTCCATAAGCAGGCATAGCCTTATCCCCGGCGTTTGTGGACTTTGATTCGGCACGGAGATTGTTCTCACAAAGTGTGCAATCGCAGCCATTGTTTTAGACAGGTCGCTAAGCCATAAAAGGCGCAATCGATTAAAGGCTTTCGCCACGATATGCGATGGGGAACAGTTTCTCCCAGGAATCAAACTGATTATAAATGGGTATAACAAATGTCAACTTAGTATCTTTGGTGCTAAATAGGGAAAAGATACGTGGAAGTGAAAGGAGTACAGTAGAATGATTTCCAAGCGCAAATACGCACTCATGGAATAGGTTATCAAACTTAGAAACCAAAGTTTTCATTAAGTGAATTGCATGATTTCCGAGGGTTCATGCAGAGAGTGCAGGCAAAAGTAGATGTAACAAAGACCCTAAAGAAAACAAATTAGGCTGAGGAACTAAATGTTAAAGAGAAATCAACGCGAATGGCAACAATGGTAACGCAAAACAACAAGAAGTCTAGATCCCATTTCTGCCATACGAATTCTGTGTGGAAGCGCAAACTACGCGTTTTCCTTAATGCGATCATCACTGGTTTGTGCTCTAGATGTTCCTCTAAAAAGATGCTTAATGGATTAAAAGGACGATAGTTGAAAATGACACTAAAGGCTAAAATACGGCCCATCGAAAAGGCCTGTTGCCAACTGATCGTGGGTGATTTTGGATGCCTTTAAAATCATATTGGGGATTGGAGAAAGTAGTTCGACGTTAATGTTGGAAAATCACCTTTACTGTATCAGCCTGTTGATTACAGTTATAGGGAGTGTTGTTTAATCAACCTGCTAGAATGTCCTTAGTGTGGTTTCGCCTTCAACAAAGTGGCAAAGGAAGTAGGTGATACCACAGAATCAAGCTGAACTAGAATAGTCGGCAGTTCTAAAGTGTTTTTTATATTGTGGTGGAATTTTAGTGATAAACTTCAGGCAGCATTTTTGCATGCCTTCTAGCCCCAGATTGTGTGTAGCCAAAGAAGTGGTTGCATTAATTAATGATGCGGAAAAAAACAGCATTTTGGGATCGAACGGCAAAAAAATTGACAAGATTTATTAGAACTACGATCTGAATTCCCTTTATATGGAGGAGATCACATAAGCCAAAGTAGAAATCGTACAACACCTCCCTCAAGTGGAAGTACTCCGAAGAGTCGGCTATCACATTGCAAAATTTCACATACCTTAGTCTCAATTTTAAGCTGGCACTGCAATTTCCATCCCGAAAAGACAAGCTTGTCGTGCATAGTATGAGCAAGACTACATTTACATTTGAATGAGCTGGATGAAGAGCAGGAAGCGCGGTGGTTGCAAGTTGAGGCAGCTTTGGTCCGGTTTGGGTCAATATGAAGGTGAAAACGCCAACTACGTATGTGCATCCCCAAAAGTAGTTCAAAACACTTCACTGACTGCCACGCCGACAAGTTTAAATGACGCAAAAAGGAGCATCAGGCACGCGTGAAGTTTGCAACTTATGGCAATCAAAACTGTGCATTTTTAGTTTTCGCCAATTGGAGAAGCGCGCCTAACATCTACCACCCACTAGGACAGCACCTGTTTCATGTGAAAAAAACACCAATTTATCCGCAAACTTAACTTGACTTAAAGCTATGAAGACATACGACCAAGTTAGACAGCTTTGCAGGTGTATAAATTTGCCCCAAAAGCACGTACTTTGAATAGTTTATAGCAGTGTACTGGAGTGACAGGAAAAACTGCTCATAAGCTCAACAGGTCAAATACGTTGTGTGAGAAAAAAAGCACTCAAGATGGCAGCCATCTAGTTCAATGTAAATGCGAGGATATTCTCAGAGTTCATTGACCCACAGAAGTTCCAATTCATAATAAAGTATAGCACAAAAAAATTATTTTCCGAGGCATTATTTGGAAGGATTGCAGAGAACAACTCACCATCATAAAGCAGACAGTCTATTGTTCTGATGTAGAAAAGGGTGATCACCCTTGAACCAAAAGCATCATACAGTTTGATTGCCTTAAAATCAGTCAATTCAACCGCAACACGACTTAGTGTAATAGATCTCGCCAACTGATAAGGAACGCATGTCACATGTTCTCGACACTGGTAGAAAACGCGCTAAAAGCACGGTACATTTAGTTAATAAAGGTACTCATCTAAGAGGATAGAACGATACAATTTGCATTATCCACCACTCCTCCACTAACAAACACCTCATCGCATTTTTACTGCATATATTAAACGCCCGGCATTTGCAGTAGGCATTTTGAAATGCAGTAACGATATGGAGCGCAGAACTGTTTGTCCAAGTAAACCTTGGAAATAAATCACTAGATGCAGAAGCTGCCAAATAAGCCTACCTAAGTAAGATCAGATGTGATGAAAGGATGTAAAGGTGGTTAAACACAACAAGAAACATCTCTGCACCCTCTAATCGAAGTAAATGCGTTGCATGCGCATTCGATTCATAGAAAAAGATCAAAGTGGTAGAAAGACCAGGTTGGTAGGGTAAACAAGGTACGCTCCTGTGTGAAGGAGCCTAGGCGTAGTGTCTCCCTTGCATTCTTGGAAAGTGCTTCCCATAGTCCAGTTCCAGCCCCAGACATAACTGTCAGAAATTGCCTTCGTTGTCAAGTCTCCGAGCCAATTTCGAGTCAAATGTATTCGCCTAAGCACAATTGAAGTAGACGCAGTGGTCCATAAACGAGATAACAGACAACATACAAGTTCGTGTGCCGCGAAGTGTGAGAGAATTACTCATTCCCCTGGGGGGCTGTTCATCCATTCATAAGCGTTTCGAGAGATGAGGAGTACGAAACGCACGCGTACACCCATAAACACACGCACATGCATCAGCCCACAACAGTTAGGCCCGCTACTCCTTTTGGAAAAACATACCTCTGCATCTCCACATTGGCCAGATCTGCGGTAAGTTTGTCCTCTATTGCCTGAGTGACAGAGATGCAGCGCTCCTGAGCCAGGTACTGGGCAATTGCGAAGACAAAATCCCGTTGTCCAAAGTTGGCGATCAACGCAGTAGCAGGAGAGATCATTATGACACAAGGAATCGTCACTGCATTCGCCTGCAGCAGTCAAAAAAAACCTATCTGCAGGAAATCACAAGACGTTCACAAATCGACTACAAATGGACCCAATCACAGCCTTCCACCTTTTGCTAAAATGGTAAGAAGTTCCATCGATGCACATGAATTCTCATCCATCAATGAAACGAAAGCCGAGACTGTAACAAAGTAGCCTTCATTTTGGTATTATCCTTACGTAAACCATTTATGCCTGCAAAGGCTCAGGAGCGTTCAAATGGGACGTACAAACGATTGCTCATTCGGTGCAGAGTTTGACATTTTAATTAAAATACGGGAAATTATACACTTGTTGCTCTCAATGCCTAATTGAGACCACCAAATCTCACATCTCTATAAGTCCTACAGTAGGTGTTATGGCAACCAGTTCTGGAAATTTGAAAGCTATTGTCTGTAGTACAACACGTAAATGATAGTAGAAAAAAATAACAAATATTTGCTCTAAAAAACACGAATGAATGCACCAAATCTTAAGTATTGTCAGCTAAAATAATAAAAATGAATGGTTCAAATTTCAAGTGCTCAAATTAACACATACAGAATCCACAGAGCTTAAGTAACTCTAACGAAAGCAAATGCAGTCATCGGATTACCTTGGAGATGAGTACTTACTAACAGGGAAAAATAGTTAAGCACGATTAGCTATATTCGACTGACACATGTTCTACGACATGATAGATCATGTGGTAACCAATACCGATCAAATCAGCTTGCACATGTGCAAGAGGTAAAAATAACCAAAGTAGAATTGCGTATATTTCTGCACAATAAATTCATCTCGAGAATCTCACCGTTCCTACTGCTGAGTTGACCGCATATAACCGCACCTAGTGCCTTTTGCCTAGTGTTATGAAGCACCACACAGATTGACCCATTCATTGCATTCAGTAAAGGAAATCTAGGCAGAGTTAAAAGTAAGCCATTACTAGGGGCTGAAATACGCTTTTACCAATCATTTAGAAAAAAAATGATCAGCTTTTGGGGGCACACAGGCTTTATCGCGAAAACGAGAGAGGGCGAAAGGAGGAGCAGAGGGAGGAGAAGGAACAAGGCCACCAAAAGACACAATCGCGGATAGACGAAGCAAAGGTATGCCACTGTCAGTAAACGTGATGTACTGCGTATGAACAGACAGTGGCTGGTTAAATTATAATCTATTTCTACTTGTATGTACTGAACACTGAATTCAGTACACAGCGGTTTTAGTTGCTCATGGGACAGACCTCATGCCATGGGCGCAGCTGATTGTCAACGCCGCCTTATGGTTCATTTTTGGGAGGCAAAAAACCACCAGGTTTTATATGCACTTTGAAATTTATTTTTTCGAATAATAACCATCGAGGGAATTTAAGGAGCAGCAGTACACGCAGTTAGTCAGTATAAGTACTGCCTGCTTTTCTGCTGAAGAACTAATGCGCATTTTAAGATGTTTTCTCAGAGCCCATAACATTAATGCTTCGCAGAAATTTAGGTTCTGCAAAACGTGGTGAGGCGTAATGGTGGTAAGGAATAGAATTAATACAGATTAGTAGGGGTACCCAAAAGAAAACATTTCCAGTAAAGGTAACATGGAGATTATGAAGGATAAATGAACCTTCAGAAGAGATGATACAATGGAATCCCAAGACAGGTAAGTTGCCGTTTCTGACACATAAACAGCAATTTCGCAGCTTGAAGATAAGCTTACAGTAGGGTGAGCTGTATGAGAGTTAGTCCCGATTAGAGGTTAAGGCACTTGGAGCAACATTATTGTTCTTGGCTTTACACGCCCTGCCTTGCATGATTGCGCTTTGTATCAAAATACCCTCCCGATCGTTAGACATTGAACAGACATGACAATATCAATTTGGCTTATACGGCGATCAGAAACAAATTTATGGACAAGTATCCGGAATGGTTACCAGTCCTAGAGTTTCCCTTATTGGTAGCACATCATTGCAAAATGATTTGAAATTACAATGCTATAAAGGTCGCCTCGAAAATAAAAATTCATATTTAGCGAAGTCAAGATCGCATTGACAAAAAATTGGCAGAAAAGATTGTGTAATTTCATCCCTACGACCAGCTCATATCACTTGAAGATTCGCCTAGTTTAACAAGCGCCAGAAAAACTCATTTGACACCGCCATGAAGCTAGGCCATATTTCTGAATGTTCCATGCGGAGAGTTAAAATAGGTTTCTTGCACTTTTGTTGGAATGCACTTCTCGCATTCACCTTCGTAAGGGTAAGCAACGCAGAAAACTAGAGTTTATCAAAGAGATTTTTTGACTGCGAGGGGCTTCACGATCAGGTTTAAAAGCACATAATTAAAATTGCCACATGCAAAATACATAAATAGCAAGACTTATATGACGGATATATCATCAAAGGAAATTGAGGAGTAGGTCAAGGTGAGGAGTTTTGATGGTCTTCTGCTTCTCGGAGAAAGGGAGCACCATTACTAGTTCAAGAGAATCCGGAATCCACATGGGGGAGATCAAATGTTGCAGCTATCTTTACACTTGCCATTACTCTGGCTTCTGATGTGATAATATGCCCATAAATGGCTATCAAACAAAGAACAACTACGATTTTCAGGATTGGAATAAGTAATTTTGACAAAGATAAAGATCTCACCATTCTTCATAGCAGTCCAATAAAGTTAGAAATATTCTATAATTTTTTTAATAAAAATAGGTGAATTCGTGACATTTTGATAAGAGAAAACACAAATTCGAGTGATGTTTTCACTTTAGCACGTCCATTACCGAAGTCTTGGCGGGAACTGGATCACCGTAGCCTAGCTTTTTGGTGCAACACCAAATACCAGTAATTACCCTGATAACTCCGAATACTACTCGAAAATAAAGCCACAGCTAATGTAGCTAGGACGAGATTTGGTGCAATCAGCTATTACCAGGTTATGGAAAACACATGCCGGAACTTCGCGTTCATGAGATGTTGGTAACTAGTGTTAACAAGATTTGTTTGCAGAGTTGTCAATTTTTGGAGTGAGAGGCGCACTGAACCAAAGCAATGCGCTCTGATGATACAGGCGCCGTGTAGACCTGTTTGTGGCTTAAATTATCTTGCGTTAAATAAACGCATGAAGGGAGGCATTAGTAGTGTTGGCCTTGTGAGATGAGAAACTCTACGACTATCTTCTAACCAGGTCGTCAAGAGGTGCATGCACCCACACTGCCGAACTCAAAGGCGGCAGTGGCTGTCCAATCTCTGCGTCCAGGCAAATTTATCCTGCACTCAAGTCGCCTTTAGTTCTTTTTAGGCAGTTGTATCACGTGGCTAAGCAGTTGCATACACAAGCTTCACAATAATCTTAAATAACCTTCAGAACTAATGTTATGTGAAAAATTTTCTTAAGTTCAATGATACCCGTTTAGAGACTCCTTCATGTTTAAGGTCAACAAAAAGTACAGCCAGGCAGCCTGGACACGAATTGACAGCCCGAACGGTGACGAATACATCGGAGTTACGGGAACCAGTGTGACATGAAGTTAAGCTCAGTGCTTTCCGGATCAAGCGCGGTCGAATCCTCCACAAAATGGGATTAACTGAGTGGTAATTAACAGACAATGCATTCGCACAATATGGTCAATAGAAGGAGAACTCCACACTTCATAATTACAAAGGAGAGATAATGGCTTTTACAAAGCCTTGCGCTGCAAAACTATTAACCTCTAGGCCACGATGGAAGATGGTGGCAGTAAGCAGTACGGTAAT